TATACCTACACCTGTACCTACACCTGCACCTACACCTCTACCTGGACCTACACCTATACCTACATCTGCACCTGCACATGCATTTACACTTACACCTGTACCTGTACCAACACCTGTACTTACACATTTACCTGTACCTGTACCTACACCTGTACCTACACCTGAAACTATACCTGTATCTACACCTGCACTTACACCTGTACCTACACCTGCACCTACATTTGTTCCTGTACCTACACCTTCACCTGCACCAACACCTGTACCTGTACGCACACTTGTACCTACACCTGCACTTACACCTGTAACTGTACCTACACCTGTACCTACACATGCACCTACACCTGTACCGACACCTGTTTCTACACCTGCACCTACACCTGTGCCTGTACGTGGGCCTGCAGCTACACCTGTACCTGTATCTACACCTGCACTTACACCTGTACCTGTACCTATACCTGTACCTGTACCTGCACCTGTACCTACACCTGCACCTACAGCTGTACCTGCACTTACACCTGCACCTACACCTGTACCTTCACCTGCACCTACACATGTACCTGTAAATACGCCTGCACCTTCACCTGTACCTGTACCTACACCTCACATGCACCTATACCTGTACTGACACCTGCACCTACACCTGTACCTGCACCTACACCTGCACCTACACCTGTACCTGCACCTAGAACAACACCTACATCTGTACCTGTACCTGGACCTGCACCTACACCTGTACCTGTGCGAACATCTGCACCTACACCTCTACTTGTAACTACACATGCACCTACACCCGCACCTACACTTGTACCTGTGCCTACACCTGTACCTGTGCCTACACCTTCACCTACACCTGTTCCTGTACCTACAAATGCAATTACACCTGCACCTGTACCTGACCTGCACCTACAAATGTACCTGTGCCTACACCTGTACCTGTACCTACACCTACACCTGTACGTGTACGTACACCTGTATCTGGACCTGCATCTACACCTGTACTTGTACCTACACCTACAACTACACCTGTACCTGTACGTATACCTGTACCTACACCTGAACCTTCACCTGTACTTGTACCTACACCTGTACCTACACATGCACCTGCACATGTACCTGTACCTACACCTTCACCTACACCTGTACCTGTACCTACACATGCACCTACACCTGTACCTACACCTACACCAACACCTGTACCTGTACGTACACCTGTAATTGCACCTGCACCTACACCTGTACCTGTACCTACACCTGCACCTACACCTGTACCTACACCTACACCTACACCTGTACCTGTGCGTATACCAGTACCTACACCTGAACCCTCGCCTGTACCTGTACCTACACCTGTACCTACACATGCACCTACATCTGTACCTGTACATACACCTGCACCTACACCTGTACCTGTACCTACACCTGTAAATACACCTACACCTACACCTGTTCCTGTACCTACACGTCACCTACACCTGTACCTGTACCAACACCTGCACCTGTACCTACACCTGCACCTTAACCTGTACCTGTACCTACACCTGCACCTACACCTGTACCTGTACCTACACCTGCACCTACACGTGTACCTGTATCTATACCTGCACCTTCACATGTACCTGTGCCAACACCTGCACCTACACCTGTACCTGTACCGACAACTGGACCTACACCTGTACCTGTACCTACACCTGTACTTGTAACTACACCTGCACCTACACCTATGCCTGTACCGACACCTGCACCTACACCTGTACCTACACCTGTAAATACACCTGCACCTACACCTGTATCTGTACCTACATCTCACCTGCACCTGCACCTATACCGACACCTGCACGTACACCTGTAACTGTACCTACGTCTGCACCTACACCTATACCTGTACCGACACATGCACTTACACCTGTACCTGTATCTACACCTGCACCTACACCTGTACCTGTACCTTCACCTGTAAATACACCTGCACCTACACCTGTACCTGTACCTACGCCTGCAACTACACCTATACCTGTACCGACACCTGCACTTACACCTGTACCTGTACCTACACCTGTACCTACACCTGTACATGTACCTACACCTGTAAATACACCTGCACCTACACCTGTACCTGTACCTACACCTCACATGCACCTGTACCTGTACCGACACCTGCACCTACACCTGTACCTGTACGTAAACCTGCACCTATACCTGTACCTGTACCCTTACCTGCACCTACACCTCTACTTGTAACTAAAGATGCACCTACACCTGTACCTGTAACTAGATCTGCACCTACAAATGTACCTGTGCCTACACCTGCACGTACACCTGTACCTATATCTACACATGCACCTACACTTGTACCTGTACCTACACCTGCACTTACACCTGTACCAGTGCCTACACCTTCACCTACACCTGTACCTGTACCTACAAATGCACCTACATCTGCACCTGTATCTGGACCTGCACCTACACCTGTACCTGTACCTACACCTGCACCTACACCCGTACCTGCACCTACACTTACACCTACACCGTACCTGTACGTACACCTGTACCTAGACCTGCACCTGTACCTGTACCTACACCTACACCTGTACATGTACGTATACATGTACCTACACCTGAACCTTCATCTGCACCTGTACCTACACCTGCACCTACACATGCACCTACACCTGTACCTGTACCTACAACTGTACCCACACCTGTATCTACACCTGCGCCTACACCTGTATCTGTACCTGGACTAGTACCTACATTTGTACCTGTACCTACACATGAACTTGCGCCTGTACCTGTACCTACACCTGTACCTACACCTGCTCCTACACCTGTACCTGTACCTACACCTGTAAATACACCTGCACCTACACCTGTTCCTGTACCTACACGTCACCTACACCTGTACTTGTACTGACACCTGCACCTGTACTTACACCTGCACCTACACCTGTACCTGTACCGACACCTGCACCTACACCTCTACCTGTACCTACACCTGCACCTACACCTCTACCTGTACCTACACCTGTACTTGTAACTACACCTTCACCTACACCTATACCTGTACCGAAACCTGCATCTTCACCTGTATCTGTACCTACACATGTACCTGTACCAACACCTGCACCTACACCAGTACCTGTACCGACATCTGCACCTACACGTGTTCCTGTACCTAGACCTGCCCCTTCAACTGTACCTGTTCCTATACCTGCATCTACACCTGTACCTGCACCTAAACCTGCACCTATACCTGTACCTGTAACTACACCTGCACCTACCCTGTTCCTGTTCGTAGACTTGCACCTACAAATGTACCTAGACCTGCACCTTCGCTTGTACCTGTACCTACACCTACACGTACACCTGTACCTAGACCTGCACCTACACCTGTACCTGTACGCACACCTGCACCTACACCTGCACCTACACGTGTACATGTACCTATACCTGCACTTACACCTGTACCTGTACCTACACCTGCACCTACACCTGTACGTGTACCTGAACCTGCACCTACACCTGTATCTGTACCTAGACCCGCACCTACACCTGTTCCTGTACCTACAACTGCACCTGCACCTGTAACTAGAACTGCACCTACACCTGTACCATCATAAATGTAAACTTCAGGTTAATATTCGATCCACCATGCAGATCAACTCGGGTTTACGATTATGACAACTTCTCGGTATTCGTGCTTTGTGAAAATCCGATGAGCGAATTTGACAGTCGTTTGTTTTTTCCCATTTTGTCATCATCTGATTGGTCATAAGCTGGGAAATTGACGTCAGTGTCATCGGCTCATTGGTCAAAACCCGTGGTAATGACGTCAGTATCGTCGTCTCATTATTCAAAACCTGGGGTAATGACGTCAGTATCGTCGTCTCACTGGTCAAAACCCGGGGTAATGATGTTAGTGTCGTCGTCTCATTGGTCAAAGCCCGGGGTAATGACGTCAGTGTTGCTGGACCACTCGCCAACGTTCTCCGGGAAGTAATGACGTCAGAGCTCGCTGTTTATTGGTAGAGGGCCAGCAGGAAGCCATGGCGTCAGAACTGCTAGCTGATTGGTCGAAAGCCAACAGGTAACTATGACGTCAGGGATGTATTCCAAACGTATATCCCTTGAATTCTGAACATGTATCCCTAGAATTCTGAATATGTATCCTTTAAATTGTGAACGAGTATCCCTTTTGGGATACAGTTGCTCTTAGTTCACTGATGACGTCAGAGATCGTCTGTAACAGCGACAAATAAACATATTTCCAGGCAATTAACCTTAATTAAGTTTACGTTTGTGTTTGTCACCTTTCTTGTTCGCCTAATTTTATTTGTTTACTTTCATTTATTTGGTAATTATTTTGCTTTATTTTCATTAATTTTTATTAACACGTAATATCAGTGTGAAAATCCAACCTGTATTGGAAAGGAGCTAAGGGTCAGGTCTGGGCGGTACAGAGGGAGGTCAGGTCAGGTCAGGGCTTGGTCAGGTCAGGTTAAGTCATATCAGGTTACGTCAGATCACATCAGGCCATATCAGTTTAAATCAATACCGAGTCAGGGCAGATCAGCGCAGGGTCAGGTTAAGTCGTGTCAGGTCAAAGACAGGTCAGGACAGAGCGAGACCAGAGAACAAAAACAAATTGTCAGACACAGGTGAAGCCTACATAAGATTAGTAATAACAAAACAGTAAGGGCAAAAAGGGAGAGAGAGGGCAAAAAAATAGGACAGTGAAAGAGGAGGCAGGAACGATAACAAATTGCAAGGATCCAGCACAAGAGAATCGAACCCTGGCACTCTACTTAGTGTGCAGACCGACCCAGAGAATCCATGAGTCTGAGTGTTCAGTGACAGATAGACAAGCTGGTGGACAGGCTGGTGTACAGGCAGGTGGACAGGCCGGACCCTGAACTTCTTAAACCCTGGACATTACTATAAAAAAAAAAATAACGAACATATGTTAATTGGCAACGTAAGGAAGTATTCTTGGTGGGACTCACCTCTTTTTCTGGTTCAGGAACGAGCCTTTGGTGTCTGTTGGAAGGCGACGACAAGCAGCGGTATCCAGCCACGGTGCGGCTCTCAGGTGAAACACTCGCAATTTCAACACGCGTCACATTCTATCGTCAAAGAGACTTCAGTCGTCACGATTCTACTGCCACAACGCTACTAATCGAACTCCTTTTAACACTGGATTATCACCACAGAGAGACACACTAAATCACCAAGAAACAGACTTTATAAACTTCCACTTCACCCTGCGGTCACCAAGTAGATTCTCACCAAGAACGACCTCTTAAGCACTTGTAAGTAACACTCGGAGTGAGCACCAGGTACATAGATCCTCGGGACAGACGCTTGCACCAAGTGATCACCAGGATGGTCGAGGACACACTGGCTGCTTCAGCACCATCACCAAAATCACCAGAATCTTTACTGTTGCTGCCACCTAGAGATTTCCGGGGCATGATCTCTGGACTTCTAGTAACGTGCGTCGGCGGGGGAATTACTCAGAGGCACTTCCGATGATTCACGAACGCTTCCAAGTACTTACGCTGGCTGTTGGGGTCCGGGGAGTTAGGCTGGGAGGGAGAGGGAGCCTTGAGGGCAGTAGTGGGAGGGAGGAAGGGAGGGAGAGGAGAGGCTCAAGGGTGGGAGGTAGACTGAATTACATTTTTTTTTTTACACCCACGTCTCTCCCTCTCTTCCTTTCTCTTCTAATCTCTATCTTCCACTCAGCGTTCACTCCTGTCTCTTTACCAATTCTGTCTCTCTCTGTCTCTGTGTCGTCTTGTCTCTCCCTGTCTCTCATCTCTGCATGTCTCCTGCTTCCCTGTTCTAACCTGTTCAGAAGGGCGGGGACAAGGTCAGACCCCAGGCAGCCAGATGCAACACTCAGGGAAATTTCAGGGAATTGTCGAGCTTCTTGCAGGGAATTTCTGGGGCTATTTTAGCTGGTCCTAAGGAACAGTGGGCTAAAGTGTTACTTAGGTCATCATACGTGGATTACATACATATGTGCCCCTTTAGAGTAAACTGCTGCTCACTTCCTACTCATCCTCAACAAGAAGAGTATAAAAAGGAATGTTTTAATTGGCCGAAACTGAAGATAAGTGTTTCCTAATTTTCCTCTGATGTGAGTATTACTACAAACTGAGGTTTATGAAAATGTGAGTCCACCTTCCTACAAACGACGTCAGTTTTTACATTAACCTCATGTGTAACGTTGGTTGAAGGGCCATTATATTTATTTTTTTTTTTTTTTTTATTATCATACTGGCCGATTCCCACCAAGGCAGGGTGGCCCGAAAAAGAAAAACTTTCACCATCATTCACTCCATCACTGTCTTGCCAAAAGGGTGCTTTACACTACAGTTTTTAAACTGCAACATTAACACCCCTCCTTCAGAGTGCAGGCACTGTACTTCCCATCTCCAGGACTCAAGTCCGGCCTGCCGGTTTCCCTGAATCCCTTCATAAATGTTACTTTGCTCACACTCCAACAGCACGTCAAGTATTAAAAACCATTTGTCTCCATTCACTCCTATCAAACACGCTCACGCATGCCTGTGGAAGTCCAAGCCCCTCGCACACAAAACCTCCTTTACCCCCTCCCTCCAACCCTTCCTAGGCCGACCCCTACCCCGCCTTCCTTCCACTACAGACTGATACACTCTTGAAGTTATTCTGTTTCGCTCCATTCTCTCTAATGTCCGAACCACCTCAACAACCCTTCCTCAGCCCTCTGGACAACAGTTTTGGTAATCCCGCACCTCCTCCTAACTTTCCAAACTACGAATTCTCTGCATTATATTCACACCACACATTGCCCTCAGACATGACATCTCCACTGCCTCCAGCCTTCTCCTCGCTGCAACATTCTTTCACCCATGCTTCACACCCATATAAGAGCGTTGGTAAAACTATACTCTCATACATTCCCCTCTTTGCCTCCAAGGACAAAGTTCTTTGTCTCCACAGACTCCTAAGTGCACCACTCACTCTTTTTCCCTCATCAATTCTATGATTCACCTCATCTTTCATAGACCCATCCGCTGACACGTCCACTCCCAAATATCCTGAATACGTTCACCTCCTCCATACTCTCTCCCTCCAATCTGATATTCAATCTTTCATCACTAATCTTTTTCTTACCCTCATAACCTTACTCTTTCCTGTATTCACCTTTAATTTTCTTCTTTTGCACACCCTACCAAATTCATCCACCAATCTCTGCAGTTCTCTTCAGAATCTCCCAAGAGCACAGTGTCATCAGCAAAGAGCAGCTGTGACAACTCCCACTTTGTGTGTGATTCTTTATCTTTTAACTCCACGCCTCTTCCCAAGACCCTCGCATTTACTTCTCTTACAACCCCATCTATAAATATATTAAACAACCACGGTGACATCACACATCCTTGTCTAAGGCCTACTTTTACTGGGAAAAAATTTCCCTCTTTTCTACATACTCTAACTTGAGCCTCACTATCCTCGTAAAAAACTCTTCACTGCTTTCAGTAACCTACCTCCTACACCATACACTTGCAACATCTGCCACATTGCCCCCCTATCCACCTGTCATACGCCTTTTCCAAATCCATAAATGCCACAAAGAGCTCTTTAGCCTTATCTAAATACTGTTCACTTATATGTTTCACTGTAAACACCTGGCCCACACACACCCCTACCTTTCCTAAAGCCTCCTTGTTCATCTGCTATCCTATTCTCCGTCTTACTCTTAATTCTTTCAATTATAACTCTACCATACACTTTACCAGGTACACTCAACAGACTTATCCCCCTATAATTTTTGCACTCTCTTTTATCCCCTTTGCCTTTATACAAAGGAACTATGCATGCTCTCTGCCAATCCCTAGGTACCTTACCCTCTTCCATACATTTATTAAATAATTGCACCAACCACTCCAAAACTATATCCCCACCTGCTTTTAACATTTCTATCTTTATCCCATCAATCCCGGCTGCCTTACCCCTTTCATTTTACCTACTGCCTCACGAACTTCCCCCACACTCACAACTGGCTCTTCCTCACTCCTACAAGAATTTATTCCTCCTTGCCCTATACACGAAATCACAGCTTCCCTATCTTCATCAACTTTTAAAACAATTCCTCAAAATATTCCCTCCATCTTCCCAATACCTCTAACTCTCCATTTAATAACTTCTCCTCTCCTATTTTTAACTGACAAATCCATTTGTTCTCTAGGCTTCCTTAACTTGTTAATCTCACCCCAAAACTTTTTCTTATTTTCAACAAAATTTGTTGATAACATCTCACCCACTCTCTCATTTGCTCTCTTTTTACATTGCTTCACCACTCTCTTAACCTCTCTCTTTTTCTCCATATACTCTTCCCTCTTGCATCACTTCTACTTTGTAAAAACTTCTCATATGCTAACTTTTTCTCCCTTACTACTCTCTTTACATCATTCCACCAATCGCTCCTCTTCCCTCCTGCACCCACTTTCCTGTAACCACAAACTTCTGCTGAACACTCTAACACTACATTTATATATATATTATATATATATATATATATATATATAATTATTAACAAGTCGGCCGTCTCCCACCGAGGCAGGGTGACCCAAAAAGAAAGAAAATACTTTCATCATCACTCAACACTTTCACCTCACTCACACATAATCACTGTTTTTGCAGAGGAGCTCAGAATACAACAGTTTAGAAGCATATACGTATAAAGATACACAACATATCCCTCCAAACTGCTAATATCCCGAACTCCTCCTTTAAAGTGCAGGCATTGTACTTCCCATTTCCAGGACTCAAGTTCGACTATATAAAAATATCCGGTTTCCCTGAATCCCTTCACTAAATATTACCCTGCTCACACTCCAACAGATCGTCAGGTCCCAAATAACATTCGTCTCCATTCACTCTTATCGAACACGCTCATGCACTCCTGCTGGAAGTCCAAGCCCCTCGCCCACAAAACCTCCCTTACCCCTTCCTTCCAACCATTTCGAGGACGACCCCTACCCTGCCTTCCTTCCCCTACAGATTTAAATGCTCTCCATGCAATTCTATTTTGATCCATTCTCTCTAAATGTCCAAACCACCTCAACAACCCCTCTTCAGCTCTCTGACTAATACTTTTATTAACTCCACACCTTCTCCTAATTTCCACACTCCTAATTTTCTGCATAATATTTACACCACACATTGCCCTTAGACAGGACATCTCCAATGCCTCAAATCGCCTCCTCGCTGCTACATTCACAACCCAAGCTTCACACCTATATAAGAGTGTTGGTACTACTATACTTTCATACATTCCCTTCTTTGCCTCCATAGATAACTTTTTTGTCTCCACATATACCTCAACGCACCACTTACCTTTTTTCCCTCATCAAATCATAAATCTATCCGCTGACACGTCAACTCCCAAATATCTGAAAACATTCACTTCTTTTATACTCCTCCCCAATTTGATATCCAATTTTTCTTTATCTAAATAATTTGATACTCTCATCACCTTACTCTTTTCTATGTTCACTTTCAATTTTCTACCTTTACACACACCCCCAAACTCATCCACTAACCTTTGCAATTTTTTTTAGAATCTCCCATAAGCACAGTATCAGCAGCATAAAAGTAACTGTGTCAACTCCCATTTTGTATTTGATTCCCCATAATTTAATCCCACCCCTCTCCCGAACACCCTAGCATTTACTTCTTTTACAACTCCATCTATAAATATATTAAACAACCATAGTGACATTACACATCCCTGTCTAAGACCTACTTTTACTGGGAAGTAGTCTCCCTCTCTTCTACACACCCTAACCTGGTCCTTACTACCCTCATTAAAACTCTTTACAGCATTTAGTAACTTACCACCTATTCCATATACTTGCAACATCTGCCACATTGCTCCTCAATCCACTCTATCATATGCCTTTTCTAAATCCATAAATGCAATAAAAACTTCCCTACCTTTATCTAAATCCTGTTCACATATATGCTTCAATGTAAACACTTGATCTACACATCCCCTACCCACTCTGAAACCTCCCTGCTCATCTGTAATCCTACATTCTGTCTTACCTCTAATTCTTTTAATTATAACCCTACCGTACACTTTTCCTGGTATACTCAGTAAACTTATTCCTCTATAATTTTTACAATCTCTTTTGTCCCACTTCCCTTTATATAAAGGGACTATACATGCTCTCTGCCAATCCCTAGGTACCTTCCCCTCTTTCATACATTTATTAAACAAAAATACCAACCACTCCAACACTATATCCCTTCCCCCTGCTTTTAACATTTCTTTCATGATCCCATCAGTTCCAGCTGCTTTACCCCTTTTCATTCTATGTAATGCCT